TTTGTAAGCTTCCTTTTTGTGCTTAAGTTCACCAAGGATTTCCCCTGTAAGCCAGTCCGGTCTCCTACCATGTTTGCCTCTCTTGCTACGCGTCGAGATGGTTTCTTTCTGTGCCTTCAATAAGGCTTCTTTAAAATACTGCCAGCTGTCCTGGACTCCTTTCCCCTTCATGTTAGCATCCCATGGGATTCTGCCCATCAGATCTCTGAGGGAGTCAAAATCTGCTTTTCTGAAGTCCAAGGTGTGTATTTTACTACTCTCTTTTCTTCCTTTGGTCAGGATCCTGAAATCTACCATCTCATGATCACTGCTTCCCAGGTTGTCACCCACCTCTACTTCCCCTATTAGTTCCTCCCTGTTTGTGAGCAGAAGGTCAAGCTGCGCATGGCCCCTGGTCGGATCCTTCAGCACTTGTCAAGAAGTTATTCCCAACATTCTCCAAAAACTTCCTGGACTGCCTGTGTATTGCCGTATTGGTTTCCGAACAGATGTCTGAAATACTATTTCAGATCTGGCATCCATCTTGTCCAGCACTGGGCACATGAAACTGCACAGTGGACCCTATGGAATACCCTGCTTATAGGAGAGAACTATTTTCCTGTGCCTTGTGAATGGCTGGCTGGCTTATGCTCCAAAGTTCAGGTTTACTCCCTGATACTCTAATTCTGTAAATGCTGATATTCTTTTATTAAATGTTTCATCCTCTCTTTCAATCATACTATGCATTTAGTATCACTAATTCTTGTGACACTGAGTTTCACACGTCAGTTGGTTAGTAGTGGAAAAAGTTCGACAAGTATAATTGCTGTGTTTTTTGTATAATAAGAACATAATTAAGAGTACCAAATTAACTTTTAAGCCATTCGTTTTTCTACACCTGTCTCCTCTTAAACATTCTTAATCTTTTTACTTTAACTTCATGTGGAAGTCTTTCCATGCCTATGAATACTTGCATTGCTCTTCTTTACGTTTTCTGTATCTGCTGTTGAAATTGTAATCTAAAATCAGTTTAAAGCTCAAGGTAAGTGTTAAAATGGCATTCTCTTGTAGGAACTCAAATGACTTGATTAAAAGAGTAGTTTAGGGTTGCTACCATTTGTAAAGGATGGAATCTGAGCATCCCTGCATCTTCTGAGTTATAAAAACCAATACTCGCATGGCATTGCTGCCTCCCTTTTCTTTGTTTCTCCTTCACAAAAGTAAAAACTGAGGAATGGACATGTTTGCTAACAATTGCTCTGATCTCCACTTTACATGTGGCATTCCTTCCCCTCACTGTCTTGTCCTTGGGAACCATAAGCATTTGGAATTGGGAAATAACTCTTGTGTATACTTGTACATCAAACTGTAATGGGTTTTCTGGATACATATGCAATTAGTGTGGTATTGGTGATAAATAAGTGAAATAATGACTTAGTTGACTATAGTTGGTGGTGTTTCCTTTACAGGGTTTGGTATGTGCAGGAATGGCTGATATGACCAGACCAGCAGAAAAACTCAGCACAGCACAGTCTGCAGTGTTAACGGCAACAGGTGACTATATTCTGTTTCTACACCTCTGACCAGAATTCTTAGTATTTAAAAAAAAAACCCTCCTCACTAGTTTGTAATCTTTTCTTAAAGAACCTTCTTCACATAATTAATTCTCATTTATACATTAATCTGTTTCAAAAGTTCAGTTTACTATAATGTGCCTAAATTCTTCATTGCAGCCTTATCAAAAGATTCCTCTTTTTAGGATAAGCCTAGGTATTTTCTGATGGCTCATTTATAATACAGAGCGCGCTATTCCATGGTCATGGGGTTCACCACAAAATTAATTTCTTGCCCGAGTTATTTCAGAACCCAAAATGTTACTTTCTAAACAGTGGAAGGACTTATCTACATGAGATGCTACACTAAAAGTAATACATGAACCTAAAGTACTAGAGTTGTACTAGTATAGCTTCACATGTAGACATTTAAGTTTGAGTGGCTTTTTTTTTTGTTCATGTTGCATTTGCAAGTTTATCTTGTAAAACAAATGCATCCATCTGGAAATAATAGTTTACAAGTATAAACTACATTCATCCTAATAGGTCAACATTTAATAACCTTAATTATGCAGGAAAGTTCCAGACTGGAGTGCACTTTGGGGCAGCAAGCTAGAAAAATCTGCAACAGCTTCAATTAAATTAAAAAAGTAGTTATTCCACTCCTGATCACTATTGTATCAGCTTTAATTCACATCCTAAACTGTCACCCATACCTTCTGATAGGTCAGAACTCCTCTTTTCCTGCCTATTCACAACTTCCATTAGTCATACGTTGTCAATAAAAAATTGCATGCTTTAAAACTGAAATGTTAGTGAGAATGTAAAAACAAGATAGTAAAACATAGCACAGAGACATTTGCAATGACTTTCACATTTGACTTTAATTTTTTAATTTAATTGAAGCTGTTGCAGATTTTTCTAGCTTGCTGCCCCAAAGTGCACTCCAGTCTGGAACTTTCCTGCAGAATTAAGGTCCAGCTTGCTGTGAGGTATTATTGCACTAATGATATGTGAGGTTCCCTATGCGGACATGATCTATGTACTATAATAGTTTGAGTGCCTTTTGGTGTCTGATCAGCATTTCTCATGTGATTTTTAATGTATTTAGATGCATATTTTAAGTATTTTACTGAATGCTAATCTTTGCTTTTTTTATTCAACAGGCCTTATTTGGTCAAGATATTCCCTAGTTATTATTCCTAAAAACTGGGGTCTATTTACTGTCAACTTCTTTGTTGGGTGTGCCGGTGGTTCCCAGCTCTTTCGTATATGGCGGTATGTACATACTAATCAGACTCTTCACTATGAACACTCAATTTGGGTGGCTTCTGAATTTCTAGTATTCACCAGCACTCACTAAACACAGATAGACCTAGGTAAATGCAGTCAGGCTTAAACAATTGTATGAGAGTTCTACAGTAATTTTTTAATTTTGCACACCCCAGGGAACAATATGACCACACAAATGGAGTTAAGGTTGTCAACATCTAACGTAACTAGAAAAACTATAGCAGAGCTTTTAAAGGGATGCTGTAACTTAATTAAACTTAAGTCACCTGCCACCTAATTTTTCAGAAGCAAATAGAATTTCTCTAGAGATGTCTCTACAGCATTCTTAATCCTTAGTCTCATAGTCTAAGCCTAAAACAGGCTCTTCAAGTTGTATAGGGTGCACTTGCCCTTTAGGGCACCCATATTGCCAGAGATCTAAACACTCCCTGCCACCCCTTCCTCCTTCTAGCAATCATGCATTTTGGTGGACTTCCAACTGCTGTCCCTTGAATTTTCCTATCAGTTCCTTCATGAACATGGACAGCAAAAAAAGTCCCTGGGAAGAGAAGTTGCACTTCAGCTCTATTTCACTGAGAGAGAGAACTTGACTCTGAATGGCAACTTAGCAGAATGAACTAGAGTTAGTCCACAAGCTGTCATCTATTTCACTTTGAATTCTGCGGTAATTGTCTTGCTCAGATACTTGGGAGCTTTTACTTGTAATCAAAAGTATAGCACAAGCTTCCATGTGTAAATCATATTTGATCTAAGCTTAACCTCTGTCCATTTTATTTAATAAAGACTTCCTGTTACTGCTCGAATGTCTGTAAAAATAGTATGAAAGTATTCTATTGTCGCTACTAGGAATGTATTTGCCAATTCATATCTTCAGTTTGCAGTATGCTGAATTTGCTTATGTTCTGTCCATAGATATAACCAAGAGCTAAAAGCCAAGGAACAAGAGAATCTGCAGCAAAAGGAACCTTAAGCCTACTAGTCAAATCCAGCTGTGCACATAAACTTCCAGTGGGACCTAGCTTGACTGGTTTTAATCTTCTCGGGTTGAGAAGGATGTGCTAATTTTTCTAACTGTCTGGAGAACAAGTCTTTCTACAGAGCTAGATAATATGCAGTGTGTCTACATTTAAATAAAATAACCTTTTAAATTTTAGCTGGTGTAATCATTTTACAATGTTAGGTGCATTTTGATCCAAAGACGTCTAGGTGTATTTGCCTTTCTAGAGAAACTGGAATTCTTGCAGGCCTCAGCGGACATATGTAGAACATCTTTATTTAGCAGTCTAAATCTAGCCCCGGGCCAGGGAGTAAAGTTATTAGGTAAGAATGATTCATTCAATAATAAAAAATTTAAAAAGGTTCTGCCATTTTAAGCCTGGGGAAATGTCCATGTCAAATTATCACCACTCTGTATTAAATGACATGTTAACAGCCTCAACAGGAACAGATGGATCATGGAGTCTAGGCTACCCTTGCTCTCTGAAAGGTGTCCTATCACATGAGGACTGACATGAGGCAGCATATGGAGAAGTCTGCCTTTACCTATACTGTATCTGGTGTCTCAAGTGGCTTCAGGCCTATGAAATCTCTTGTACATGGATATTTAGATTTCAACTGATAATCCCTAAAGTTGACTCTCATACTAAGATGTTCCTCACTTTATCAGAATCGTGTTCCATTGTGTACTGTTCAGTTAATTAAGGTATATTTATTTCCCTGGTGAGTGAGAAGACCTTGATGCCAACGCTGGATCGCTTCAGAGTAGAACATGACAGATTGTGGCTAAAATGTGCCTGTTCTAGAGGTATTCTCCACCCCACCCCTCAAATGCATCTCTTTTATAAGAGACCCTTCTGTGGGAGGGAGTGTCCTCTTAAATTCCATGCTTTTTAAATTCACTGTAGTTTAAGGGAGAACTAGATAACCAGCTGGAAGGATGAAAAGGATTCAAGTGATGGAGGTGAAATACTCTAGCCCCTTTAAAAGAAGATAGCAATTCTCAGCATTACTTGCCTTTTAGCAGACCAAAGTAAAGCCATACATTGCCTTTATTAGAGTATATTCTGACTTGTAAAATGTCTAGGCATTATGGTTAGGTGTCCTGATAATTCTTGCAAGCGTGTATCCCCCATAGATGAGTGTTCTCCCTGAGTCAAGTATCAGAGGGGTAGCCGTGTTAGTCTGAATCTGCAAAAGCGACGAGGAGTCCTGTGGCACCTTATAGACTAACTGAAGTGTAGGAGAATAAGCTTTCGTGGGCAAAGACCCACTTCGTCAGATGCATGTAGTGGAAATTTCCAGAGGCAGGTATAAATATGCAGGCCAGGATCAGGCTGGAGATGACGAGGTGGATCCAATCAAGGAGGATGAGGCCCACTTCTAGCAGCTGATCTGGAGGTGTGAATTCCAAGAGAGCAGAAGCTGCTTTTAGTCCCCAGCTAAAACCTCTCCAACGCATCATTAGTGATCTTCAGCCCATCCTGGACAATGATCCCTCGCTTTCACAGGCCTTGGGAGGTAGGCCGGTCCTTGCCCACAGACAACCCGCCAACCTGAAGCATATTCTCACCAGCAACTACACACCGCACCATAATAACTCGAACTCAGGAACCAATCCTTGCAACAAACCTCGGTGCCAACTCTGCCCACATATATACACCAGCAACACCATCACAGGACCTAACCAGATCAGCCATACTGTCACTGGTACATTCTCCTGCACATCCACCAACGTAATATATGCCATCATGTGCCAACAATGCCCCACTGCTATATACATCGGCCAAACTGGACAGTCCCTACGTAAAAGAATCAATGGACACAAATCTGATATTAGGAATGGCAACATACAAAAACCTGTAGGGGAACACTTCAATCTTCCTGGACACACAATTGCAGATCTAAAAGTAGCCATCCTGCAGCAAAAAAACTTCAGGACCAGACTTCAAAGAGAAACTGCTGAGCTACAGTTCATCTTTAAGTTTGACACAATCAACTCTGGAGGATATGAGACTGTATTTCCCTCCCGCCCTCCTCCCCCACCTAGTATTTTCTCATTTGTTTACAATCAACTAAAGTTGTAGAACCATGCCATAGAAATAACCCCAAAGCTGGCCTACACCAGCTTACTCAGGCTGTTTCACTACTGTGTAAACTTCTGGGCTTTGTGCCTACAGGGTCCAAGTCTGAAATCTACATAGAAATGAAGCAGTTCTGGAGCCTGTGCCAGCTGGGAATTTTTATTATTTGTGTTGTAAGCGTATCTTCAGTGAAGCTGGTCCCTGTATGACAGACATAGTAGATAACGGTGTGTAGTTTAGAAAAGGCAGCTTCTATCCACCCCCAAAGGAGCAAGCAAGTGGAAGCTACTTAATAGCAAGGTCATAACATGGGGCAGAGAGTAAGCTCTCCCACCCATGCGAGATTTTGTTCTTTGCGGGATGGGTGGAATAGGATTCCACCATTGCACAGGCAATGTCCTCTTCTCTCAAAGTCTGTGGAACATGTAACAATGCATTAGAAGCAGAAACAGCATGTCCTTGCTCTAGTAGTAGATGTTACCAATGACAAACATCACCTTCCTACTTACTCTTTCAAAGAAGGATAGTTTTGTAGTAGTCAATAGTTTGAGTAATAGTTTCTCCCAATGTCAATTTGCCTTTAACGAACGGGATAGTTTTGTAGTAGTCAAGAAACTGAGTAATAGTTTCTCCCAATGTCAATTTGCCTTTAACGAACACATTATAAAATATAGCCAGAGTTCTTCTGTAATAGTTCCAGAATCAAAAGGTGTTTACCTGGAAGGATTTTTCTGAACTCCAGCTGCTGCTAATGTAATATATTCATTTAGGATACTGTTGTAAGTCCATCTGTAGTACACCTTGAGCTTGCTCCCCACATCCATCCCTGTTAGGCAGATACACCTAACTTCTTTAGATTCCCTCTACAAAGCCTTCATCAGGCTGCTCCAGGAAACAGGCTCTGATCAATTCCCTCAATGATTTCTCAATCAAGGTGGTAGATGAGGTAATAGTTTTAATTGGACCAACACTGCAATTAATAGTGTAGTAGCAATAGCTCCTTGCTCCCTTTCCTCTTTTGACTAACTCCAGCATTATATAAAAAGTCAGCCAATCATAGCATATGTAGTATTCATCAATACAGCAGCCCCACATTTTTCACGTATTGCATTCTTAACCTTGAGAAAAAGAATATGGTAGTGGTGGAGGTACCTAGTTAGTTTTCAAATACTTTAAAGGGCTGTTACAAAGAGGACTGATCAAATGTTCTCCACATCCACCAAATGTAGGACAAGTAGTAACAGGCTTACTCTGCAGCACAGAAGATTTTGGTTAGCTATTAGAAAGCTTTTCCTACCTACAAAGGCTATTTAAACTCTAGAAGAAGATTCCAAGGGAGAGTGTAGCATCGCCTCACAAGTTTTTGCCCAACTTGTTTTTAAGCATCTGTCAGAGAAGGTCTACATTACAATACAGGGGGCAGTGCTCGATGACTTCTTGGGATCCCGATCATCCCTACATTCCTTTGATTTTATGTTCAAAACATTTCAGAAACCTGAAGACTGTTTCACCATGCTACCTAGGAAATGATACATGCACATGGGAAGTGACAGAGAAGAGATAACAGTACCATGTCAATGACTAAGATTTGTTTCCCTCCCGCTACTTAATCATTTTGAAACACACAATATAAAACCAGATAACATCACCGAGGATCTTTCCTACACACTTTCAATAACAAAACTTGCCCTGGCTCCTGCATTTCATTTCCTTCTGCATAATTTTCTTTATTCTTCTTCTCATCTCTTCTCATTTTGTATCTTTCTCCCTCCATTTTGCTTTCCCTTCTGGAGGGCACACACCTTTTCTCCACTTTCCCACTCTGCTCTTTATGCTTGCCCAGACTCTCTAAAACCAGCAGACCAACAGTTTCAATCTGAGGGCCAAGTATTTCAAAAGAGTCAAAGAGTAAAGACAGCACGATAGGCTTCTGACCTGTTCACCCTGGGGCTCCGTCAACCTAGCAAAAAAGCAGGAAATTGAGCAACTTTCTACTCCTGCTCTGCCGAACTTGCATAACAACTGTCATGCTGGTGGCCTGCAAAAAGGAAGAAACAGAAGTGGGTGATGATGTGTTCTACACCTAATTTTTTTTTAACCGACATATCGAATCAAAGACACAGCTCAGGAAACTCCTCATTGTTCATTTGGAAAAACGACATACTGAATCAAAGACACAGCCAGGAAACTCCTCATTGTTCATTTGGAATCAAGTATAATGTTTCTCAAGTGAACTTCACAGGCCACAGGTTGTATACCACAGATCTAAACAGATTTTCAAAATTATTAGTAAGCTCTACAGTAGTAGAAAAATGTCCAATTATATTTTGGAGCTCAAAGGCTTGGCAGCAGGCTGTGTGTTGAAGCACTGTCCAAGATAGGGTACCAAATAAAGAATCATTTCTAGTCTAGAAAACAAGTTTCTGGTCTGCCTCTCCCCATCTCTCCCATGCCCATGCACAGGACAGCCACTTACAGCTAGGAGGTGAAGATGCTGAGGCTGCCAGCCCAAGGCAACTGAAGCCATGAGAAAAGGATTTGCACTGAGGTCAGTGCTAGGGATGTAACAGTGTAGTCAATTAACTGATAAGTAAAAGCTTATTGGTTAATACTATAGACTACATGCATTTTTTTCCCCCAGCCAGTAAATCTTTTAGCAGGCTGGCCAGCAGCCTGGCTCAGTCCCAGCTCATGCCAGGTCTGGGACCTACCCCTGGAGCAGCTCTGCATTTAAAGTGTATTAGGAGGCAGGCTGGCAGCCTGGCTCCATTCTGGCTCGTGCCAGGTCTGGGAGCTCAGACCCCACACAGACAGGGGCTGCTGGCACTCTGCCACAGGGTGACAGACAGCCAGTCCAGGAAGGGAGCTGGCTTTTAAACTGCCTCCCCTTGCGGACCAGCTCCCACCTGGCACCCCATGCTGCTGCCTCTGACACAAAGGCAGCAGCACAGAGTGCCAGGGAGCTCCTCAAGAGTGGGGCCAGAAGCACACTGGCTGCCAGGCCCACCCCAGGGACTATCAAATAGTCAAGTAACCGATAAGAATTCATGAGGTTAATCGACTATTCAATTAA